AAAGCAGCAGAACACTGCTTCAATCCTTTAGCTTGGGGAGATAGCAATATGAATTGTTTAGATATATCACCATATCATTTATATAAAAGCTGAAAGCAGAGGCGAGGGTAGGTAAGCATTGATGGACAGTGCTTCTATCTTCTCTGAAACCAGCTGGCTCTTCCATTATCAGAATTTCCTGAACCAGCCAGTCTTTAGGTTTACCATGGAGGTGCTTAATACAAAATTTGCTGATTATGTGGAGTAGGCTAATTGGCCTGGAGTACGTAGGATCATCTTCTTGAAAACTGGAACTATAATTGCCAAGCCCAATCTTTGGGGACACATCCAGTGATGTCAATATAGGTAAAGAACAATACTGGAATTGGAGCCCATCACTCTATATTGTTCTTCATTAGTTCTGGGGGAATAAGATCAGTTCCAGGGGCCATCCTCCTCCTGAGCTGACTAATAAGGAATTTAATTTTGGTCACAGATACTGGGGGCCTCTCAGGCAGGTACTCCATTATTTGCACTGGGGACTCACAGAGGGCTCTTCATACATCCTCTGAAAGTGTATTGATAAAAGAAAACATTTGTAGTTCTGGGTTGAAATGAGAGGTCCTTGGTGCTCTTTGATTTTGGCTGTTTGCTTGCAGATATTTCATTACCCATTGCCCAAATTAGATAACACCATCAATGCACAGAAAATATAGTGCAAAGTGTAAATCTCAGGCTTTAAGAGGTACATAGGAGGAATAAGATCTCTGGATTCCTTTGCTGCTTGCATACCTTTTTACCCAAGTGATCCTTGTATCTTCCTTCTCCATGAAGGCCACCAGTTGCTTCCATTTTTTTTAAGGGTGAGAAGATATCAACGTCATTACATTACTGTCCCTGTCTCAGATTTATAAAGATGATTGTTGTTGTTAGTTGTGAAGTCGTGTCTGACCCATTGCGACCCCATGGACAACATTCCTCCAGGCCTTCCTGTTCTCTACCATCCCCCGGAGTCCATTTAAGCTCACGCCTATTGCTTCAGTGATTCCATCCAGCTACTTCATTCTCTGTCATTCCATGGCTTGAAACTCAACATTAAGAAAACTAAGATCATGGCATCTGGCCGTCTCAATTCCTGGCAAATATATGAGGAAGAAATGGAGGTAGTGACAGATTTTATTTTCCTGGGCTCCAAGATCACAGCAGATGAGGACTGCAGCAGGGGTGAAATCTTAAATTTTTCCCTACCGGTTCTGTGGGCATGGCTTGGTGGTGGGGTGTCCTGTGAGTGGGCATGGCCAACTCAATATCACTCACAGCCATGTCCACTCAGTCACAAGACCCCCTCCCACCAAGCCACGCCCACAGAACCCGGTAGGAAAACTTTTTAAATTTCTATTCTGCCGGCGTGTCCTTACCTTTCTTCCGCGGCTCTGCCCACCCGCCCCATTCCCCAACTCCATCCTTGCCGCGGAGCCGCTGCCTGCTCGCCCTTTGCCACACAGCTCCGCCCACCCGCCCCATTCCCCGGAGTCAGGGAATGCACCATTCCCTGACTCCTACTGCTCACCTTTCTCCCATAGCTGGCTGTCAAGGAAGGCAAGCGGCTGAAAGTTACCAGAGTCGCTCACTCTCCTTCTTGAATGAGCCGTTCTGGTCCATGTGCCGGCTGTGCAAGCGCACACTCAACCTGCCGCTGATGAATGAATTAAATAAACGGTATGTGCTTGCGCAGCCGGTGCATGGACCAGAGCGGCTCATTCAAGAAGGAGAGTGAACGACTCTGGTTTTCCAAGTACTAACGAGGCAGCAGAGAGAGCCAACGCCATTGTGGAAAAATATCTTAGATGCTATGTCACCTATCAGCAGACCAATTGGGTGGAACTCCTGCCATTTGTGGAGGTGGCATACAATAATGCTGTCCACAGTAGTACTAGCTTTACCCCATTTAGAGTAGTGCATGGGTTGGATTTCGTTCCCATACCTGAGTCTCCGCAAGAGCCCCCTATTCCCCTCAACCCAAAAGAGTGGATAGATACCTTGCCAGGGGGTGTGGGAAGTTGTGAAGAAGGCCTTGAGGAAAACTGCAGAAACCCAGAAGATACAGGCAGACAGAAAGCGGGCTCCCCAGAAGCCATTCTGGGTGGGAGACAGGGTGTATCTATCGACCAAATACTTAGTGTTAAGGGTCCCCTGTTGGAAGTTGGGTCCAAAGTTCGTGGGGCCCTTCCCCATCGTACGAATAATTAATCTTGTAACAGTGGAGCTGAAACTACCCAGACTGTTAGGAAAGGTGCACCCTGTTTTTCACAGTAGTCTGCTTAAGCCTGTAAGCGAGTCCCTTCATCCACAACCATTACTGGTGCCTGGTCCCGTGGAGGTGGGAGGAGAGACCCATTATGAGTTTGATTGGATACTAGACTCCCGACTGCATAGGGATTGATTGCCTTGTTCAGTGGAAGGGAAATCCCAATACAGAAGCCTCCTGGGTGGCAAGTGGAGACATATGGGGGCCCATCTGCTCAGGAAGTACCATGGGAAATATCCTCACAAACTGGGGAGGGGGCATATAGGAGCCTGGATATAATACTCTTTTGCTATGTATCCTCACTATCTGTGCATACTATCTTCCAGGTGCGGCCCTGGTGAGAGAGGAGCCGCTTGTCAAACCTCGGGGTTTGCTTTAGCAGGGGGGTGGAGGGAAGGTCCTGGTGGTTGGGGAAAGTTTGTGATGCCGGCGGCTGCAGCCAGGCATCGGAGAAACCCCATTGGAGCGCCAATCAGCTGTGGCAGGGAGGTGGCCAGCACAAATCTCTGTTGGAGCGCCAATCAGCTGTGTGACTGGGAGGCGGCCAGTGCGAGGCAACCAGGATGCCCGACGATCAGCTGAGCAACCAGAATGCCCGATGAGCAGCTGTGCAGCTATATGGAGCCGGGCGAGTGACTTCCGGGCAAGGACTGCACCGGCGGAGGGCATGGCTTGCCTATATAACCATGCTGGGAGGTGAACACTCCCAGTACTGACTTTAATTCCAGATTGCGGAATCAAACCCACACACCTGGGGTTGTTACTACTGGATTAGGTCCAGAGCTCGGACTGCTTGAGAGTCAGCTTGAGATTAGTCTAACAGCTCACTAAAAGAATTAATCAAGCTTCTTCTAGAGATTCATTAGAAAGCTGTATTGCTGTGGATTGTCCAAGTTGTTTGCTTAGATTTCTCCCTTGCAAAGACACTGTTGATAAGATGCCCTCATAGTTGTCCAAATGGTGAATATTAGATTAAAGTGCTAGTACCATTTTAGCCAAACTGAGTTAGAGGCTCAGAGTTAGAAGCTGACTTCCTCAGAATGGAAACACATATTGGGAAGATCAAAAAGATCCTCTGAAAGATTTAAGTTTGAAGAACATGCTGGGGATTGTAGGTGCCCAAATATCAGCAGGATGCAATGCCTCTAGGTGAGAGTCATTCTACCTTTTTAAAGTGCATCAGTTGTCTTTTCCAGTGTAATAGCTGGCTTAAGGAATCAATGATGGCTTTTTAGATCGCCATCTGCCTCTGTTTACTCCATTATTTAACATTTGCAGAATTATCCTAGTAGTTTGAGGAGATCCTTGTCTTTTACAAGGTTTTTGCCCTTCTCACCTTTCTTTGTAGGATTGCTTAACCTTCTTTTTTCTTCCCTGTTATTTCCTCTTATTAGGCTGAGTTCAGGGTCCAGGTCTTCCTTCCAGCTATTCCAGTTTCCTTCCAGCTGTCAGCTATTTGTTTGGAACAATATATAGATGCAGATCAGTTTCTTTGGCTAGCTGGACAGTTTAGTTTGATTGACTCTCAGTAAATTTGGCAAAATATTCTTTTAGAGAATTTGCTTTGTTTTTAATTGTGGTTGTCAAGTCAAGGTATGTGCTTCAGTAGACTATGCCTAGCTATAAATTTTAATCTATTTACTGGTTTCAGCCTGTAGGTCCTTCTTGAGAGGTTCATACTTATTGGATAAATGAAGTGAGATTATGTTACTTACAAGAGACGCTTGTTTGCTTGTGATGTATCTGTAACTTTTTGTTGTTTCAGAGGCATTGATGAAGTCTGTTTATCTGAGTTGTGGTGGTGCAGCGGCTACTGCAGGCTACTTCTGCTGACTGCCGGTTGCCAGCAATTGGGCAGTTCGGATCTCAAGGTTGACTCAGCCTTCCATCCTTCCGAGGTCGGTAAAATGAGGACCCAGATTGTTGGGGGCAATATGCTGACTCTGTAAATCGCTTGGAGAGAACTGTAAAGCACTATGAAGCGGTATATAAATCTAGGTGCCATTGCTATTGCTACCTGCTGTTGTTTCTTCTTTTTCCCCCCACGACAGTAGTGCAAATGTTCTTTCGATAAAAACAACTGACCCAATAATTGCAATAATAAAAAAGGTAGTAAGAGTACAAGATGGGGCTAAGGGGGAAAACGATCTGAAAATATATAGTAAACTAAAATGCAGATAGAATTTTTTTAAAAAGGCTTTTAGGAGGAGTTAATTATAAGGATTACAACCATCTTTCTTCCCTCCCCCTCCCCCTCCCCCTCCCCCTGGTAAGCATGTGGTAAAATTGCAAATTCAGAAGAATAATGTGCTTAACTCAGACTAAGCAACTTTTACAATAGAGAAACGTTGTTTAAGAAAGCAATGGCAAAGAAATAGGATGTCCTCATCAATTATGGTTTCTCAATGCTGTTTTTCTTTGATGAATATCCATTCATTACAATAGTTAAGCACCACCCATATATCCTGGCATTTTATTTGGCCTTGTCCTGTTCCATATAGATTGACTATAGATGAACAGATCACCATGTGGATTCCAACTCTCCGTCCCACCTAAAATAGGTTTTTATTACCAGATAACATAAATATTCTGTGATGGCAAGAGCTGGTTGGGCTGACCCCAAAAATTTATCTGGGTTTTGCTTACCTTGTTTGTTATCTGAAATTTGTTATCATTAACGTTATGGCATATTTATCTTCCTTTTGTGGCACAGGAAAACCTGAACTGTCTCAGCAGAAGAGTGGAATGAGGCAATTTGATTTTTTTTGAAATGTTTTATTTTTTTAAAAAACACACAGCTACCTAGCCACTAGTCAAAAGTCTTACCATTCTCGATAAAATGGAGGTCTCTAATTTGTTCAAGAGCCAAAATGTCTTTCCTTCTGAGTCCACTTTAAAAGTCAAAGTCGACAGAAAGAACTTGCCATCATACCAAGCTATGTTGTCTGTGATGAAGGCAAAAATGCCTTTTATGTATCAGAAAGATGTTAGCCATGCTGAGTGGCATTATGCGCATTATCAGAAACAATGTCTTAAGAATGTATCCAAGAGCATTCATTTTTCCAAAGAAACCATTAAGCCATCAGCTTTATCATATAAAGATTATGACCCTAAAGGTCTATATGATTTTTCTACTATTCTTCGTCAATGTAAAGATGAAGATATTCCTAAAAAGCTAAGGAAACCAAGAAAACTGAAACCATCAAGATTACCTCATTTGAGGGAACCAGAAATTGTTCCTGTCCAAGAAACCTTTGGGAATCTCCCTCTGTTCTTAGAAGACTGTATCTGGGAAGCCAAACTAGAGAGTACCCAAGCAGAGCCCAAATTGCTGGTACCCATTCCTCCTCCTCCTCCTCTTTCTCCTCCTTCTTCTGACCTTCCAAATATCCAGGCATTCCCAACCAAACCCCCTGAGAAGTTAGAAGTCTCAAGTAAGAAAAGACAGTCCAAATTCACAGTCTGGGATGAACCCGAACAAGAAAAACTGGGGTGGGAAGATACACTGTTAACAAAGATAAGCAAAACAACAGCTCAATGGATTGTGAACAATCAAACCTCTTGGGGAGGTTGGGTTCAGGGTAAGCTAAAGCATTTCAAGAAACAGAAGTACGATTGGAACAGCATCAGATATGTACTCCCTTGTGAAAGTGATGTGGAATTACTGGATGGAATTCTAGCAGAGGAAACAGTGGAAGGAGGTCCTATTCACAAAGATGAACAAAAGAAGCTAGAGACGTCTCTCGCTGCTTACTATAGGTAGGACACAAAAGTTATTATTACAATAGAAGAAAATATGTAACTTGGAATTGAGTTTTGGAGCCCTTGGTGCTCTCTTAAGTTTGGTTATTTGCTTACAGGTGCTTCATTACCCAACTATACTGTATAACATCATCAGTGTTAGTGAGTGTGGAGTTTGCTCCCTGTTAATGTGCAATAGTTTGCCTTGCCTGTCTTGGTGAGGGTGTGGTTTTCTCCTTGGCAGTTCCTTGATCAGTCATTGATAGACACACGGAGATAGACTACACTGACACACCATTCAAAAGAGACAATAAAAAGTTATGTCACAGTTAACCAATACCCAGATAAGCATGATACCAAACAAACAATAAAAAAGAAAAAAAACTTAATCAAGGAACTTCCAAGGAGATAAACCATACCTTCACCAACTCTGGCAGGGCAAGCTGCAGTATATAAACAGGGAGCAAATCCAACACTCACTAGCACTGATGATATTACCTAGTTGGGTAATGAAACATCTGCAAACAAACAACCAAGCTCAGAGGGCACCAAAGACTCCATGGATATTATTACTTTTCCTCCTGATATAAATCTTTCAATAAGATGTGAATCTCAGCAAGTTCTATAGAATTTACTTCCAATTAAGGATGCATGGAATATACTATAGTGGTAGTCCTCGAGTTATGACCACAAGTGAGCCCAAAATTTATGTTGCCAAATGAAACATTTGTTAAGTGAGTTTGCCCCATTTTACAAATTTTCTTGCCACAGTTGTTAAGAGATCGCATTTGTTAAGTTAATAACATGGTTGTTAAATGAATCTGGATTCCTCATTGACTTTGCTAGTCAGAAGATCACCAAGCTGATTATATGACCCTAGGACACTGCAACCATCATAAATATGAACCGCCTATCAAGCACCTGAATTTTGATCATGTGACCATGGGGATGCTGTAATGCAATGATCGTAAGTGTGAGAAATAGTCATAAGTCACTTTTTTCACTTCTGTTATAACTTTGGTCCCTAAATGAACTGTTGTAAATCGAGTATTGCCTATGCTGCTTTTATGATTAAATGGGTTATTTTTCTGGCCCATTCTTTATATTTGAAAAATGAAGGGACAACATTAAGGCAGTTTTATGAAAGATAATCAGGGTAGTAAAAAAGGCAAAGGCAACACTAGTAAAATGGTGAACCTGTAGTAAAACAAAAACCGTGTAAAAGATTTTGAAAAGAACAAGTCCGGTTTCTTTTATTAAAGTTTATCAAACAATCAAAATATCACCTCCCCACACACAACCCTCCCCACAACTGAACTGGTACCCCAAAGGTCCTCTCCTTTTATCTGCCCCACAACTCCTTCCACCCATATCAGACTGGAGAACTGACAAGAGGAAGTCCCTTCTCCTTTCTGCGGGAAATGCCAAGAGAACTGACACAGTAAAAACTCACTTCCCACCCTCTTCTCCCACCCTGCGTCTTTTACCACTTATGGTTTGGCAAGAAAAGTGGAAAAGATTTTTGGCACATGGAAAACCTGAGTCTTCCACTGCTAATAGACAAGTGGCCTTGAAAATCAGCAGTTGAGAACTTGTGGGGAGAATGTACACATAATGGCTTTAGATAGCCAACAGAAGCAGAGCAGGATAGGCACCTACCTCTAAGCTTACCCCAGAAAGAATTGTTACTTGTATGCCCCAGCTTGTGTTGCAGAGATAGGACAAAGATCCTTTTGCAATGGAGCAAGGAACTATAGGTAAAAATTGCCTTGGTGACTGTTGAAGAGAACATGGGAAGGAAAAACAAAGGGGAAATCTCTCAAAAGTAAATATCTCCCATGTACAGAACAAAAATAACTATCTTTGTCTAGGTCTATATCTTCATGTTCTATGATACAATTAATTTTTAACCATTAAATCAGATCAATGAACACAATGAAAAAAACAGGAAAACAGAGCTACATGTACTACCATAGTTTATGTGGTTAACTTCTCAATATGTATTAAATGGGGTTCCCAGAGGTACCCGATTGCTAGGATGGCTTTTTTAGACCACAATAAACAGATGTCTAGTTATCCATTAGACATGGAATAAAAACAAACCAATGAAAGAAACCCTCTCCAAAACATGGAAAAACTGCAAAAAAATCCAGTTCTACCTGTAATCTAGGGTTCTTAAGTAGGATTTTTTTTTGGTATGAACTTGGCTACTACTAAATTAATGACTATTTAAAGGGTTGCCACCAGTGGTGGGTTCCTCCCGGTTCGGCCTGGGTCGACCGAGCCGGTAGCGGTGATGCTATTATGTCACCGAACCAGTTCTCTTTCATCGGGAGCTGGGCCCTCCCACCCGCCCCCGCGTTATTCCTACCTTATATTTCTTCTTTTTTCACCCAGCTGAGAGGTGCGGCAGAGCGGATTGCCGTACCTCAGCTGAGCAGATTCGTAACGTGCTTGCGCAAAGCGCAAGTTTGGCGCGCATGCAAACCGTGTGCACGAACCGATAGTAAAGCCAGTTAGAACCCACCACTGGTTGCCACCTCTCTCTTTCCTCCTGACACTACATTTTTCATTTTTTCTCTTAGTAGCTGTTTTTCCTCCTTCAATTCTTCTCACTGCTGATCCTCCCACAGCCTTACCTGTTGTTATGATAGCATCTGTCAGAACATCTCTGCAGGTGTGTAGATCTGAAGCCAGAACCACAATGAACTGAGATTCTAGTCTATATATTGTGGAGGTTTGAATTTAAATTCTTGCACAGACTAAGTGGTTTCTGGCCTCAGTTCTAGTTCTAATCTGAGCTCTAAGAACTATTCAAATATTATGATTTATTACTTTATTTTATTTATAAATCTACTTAATAATGAGTGATTCAAGGCATTGCATGAAGAGGATTGAAAGGCATAATAAAATTAGAGTATTCCGTGAGCATAAAACCCTACTATAGTAAATAAGCTCCATTTGTGATTGATGGGTCCCATTTTGGATAAATCACGAGTTGCATTATTTTCTCCAATTTAGCAATCTATGAAGGTCTATTACAATATATACTATAATTTCTATCCAGCTAACCAGCTTGGCCAGTTGGTTATGCTTATTGATTTATTTCCATATAAATCAAGTTAACTTTCTTTCCATACAAATCATGTTCACTGAAAACTTCCAGGTTACCATCTTTTCATGCAAGAGTGGTAGGCGAGGATGATCTACTCTTTCCCAATCAAACAGCAGACAAAATATCAATGAAACATCTCAGACCAGCGACTCCTGTTAAACGTCGTGAGCGGCTGCACCCCAGGACTGGGAAATGTTCATATGTGACTCAGAATGCCTTTGAACAAGAACTTTATTTTGGTAAGCATCAGGGGAATGACTAAAGAGCTTTAACTTTATAGAGTGAAAGACTGATTCCAAAATTGGTTCCACTATAAGCTTGCAGAAAATTCTACTCTGCCAAATCAAATCTTGTGTATCGAAACACATGACAAATATTACTAGAACAATAGATGTTAAAACAATGATGTCTTTATTTTGAGAGTTGTGTAGCAGTCTATCCTATCTGGAAATTTTTAATATTGCAGATAGCAGTGGTGATAGAAGACTGAGGAACCCTGGTGGTGCAGTGGTTAGAATATAGTATGCAGGCTAACTCTGCCCTCAGCCAGGAGTTCGAACCTGACAGGGCTCAAGGTTGATTTAGCCTTCTATGTTTCCAAGATCGGTAAAATGAGGAGAAGATTGTTGGGGGCAAGATGCTGACATTTTAAACCATACAGAGAGTGCTGTAAAGCATTGTGGAGCGGTATATAAGTCTAAATGCTATTGCTATTTTCCTCACCCATATTTGTGAGTTTCTCCAATGCATCTGGTTGGCCATTGAATGATATAAAATGCTAGACCAGATGAATCTTTGGCCTCATTCATTTGTCAGATTGCCAGATTCTCATTTTCCTCAAAGGACTCCAGAAATGTTATAGACTCAGAGATGTTCAACCAGTAAAATTAGTGCCTAAACTTTGATTTGCACATAGGACCTCCTCTAAACACTATAAGCTACTGTACCAGAGGTGGGTTTCAGCAGGTTCTGACCAGTTCTGGAGAACCAGTAGGGGAAATTTTGAGTAGTTCAGAGAACCGGTAGTAAAAATTCTGACTGGCCCCACCCCCATCTATTTTCTGCCTCCCAAGTTCCAGCTGATCAGGAGGAAATGGGGATATTGCAATAATCTTCCCCTGGAGTGGGGAGGGAATGGATATTTTACAGTATCCTTCCCCTGCCACACCCACCAAGCCATGCCCACCAAGCCATGCAACACCCACCAAGGCACACCCACAGAACCGGTAGTAAAAAAATTTGAAACCCACCACTGTACTGTACCATGCTTATGGGATACAGAAAAGCATTCAGCATTTAGAAATAATGTTGCTAAGTTCCAATGGTTTTCTTCCTCTTGTATACTTTCAGGGTCAGCCAAGATTATCCATCAAAAAACCAAGAAGGATCGTATCATTCTGGATAATCATGATGAATATAACAAACATCTAGAACAATGCTACCCAAGACCTCCAGAAATCTGGAGCTTCAAATCACCAAAAAGGACAAGTAAGAGTGGAGCACTGTGCTGATTCCCCCCCATATTTTATTCACCATTCTCATTTGAGAGAGAAATATTGCTTTCAAAATTATGTTAATATATCGAAATAATTTGATGAAAATGATCATTGCTTTTTTTAAAAAAAATGAAATTAAGAGGATAGATTTTCATACTTTCACTTTTTTGTGTGTGGAAGACTACTCTTGTTTTCAACGTGATTTCTCACAGAAATCACGAAAGTGAAGAAATACCTACTTCACTGTAAATCCTCCATGAAAAATCCCTTAACTGGAACAATGTAGGTTTGTAATGTTTTTAATCACTTGCGTCCTTATATTTAAAACATTTTAATTTAAATTTGGTATCGGTCTAAGTTCTATTATTTCTCTTTCACACAATTTCCTAATCATATTCCAATATAGCTTCTTGAAATTACAAGTAATCTTCGGTTAGTGACCAGGATTCAAAGTTCTGATATCTATACCTCCATAGTCATTTTGGGCATTTGATAATTGGCCTGCATTTATGATTGTTTACAGCACCCCATGATCAAATGGCTACAAATTTTGGGCAAAAAATGGTCCTGAATAATGGGTTCCCCTAATTGTATAAGGTCTCCTGCTCGAGCAAGTAATTGGGCTAGAAGACTACCAAGGTTTCTTCTAACCCTGTTTTTCTATGTTCTAATGACTGTGGTGTTCGCTCAACAACCATGGTGTTTGCTTAATGACTGCCACAAAGTAGTCCTAAAACAGAAATCCTTCTACTCTTCTATTAAATCAGGTGCAGTCATGGGATGACCCTCTTTACAACTGTCATGACTTATGACTGAAAGCATGGGCTCAGTTACAGTCGTAAATCTACCTTTATCCAGGGAAATATTTAGATATAGCTTTTCTCCTTTAATCAAAGAAAATATCCTGATACAGATTATCTGTTCCCCATAGGAGAAAGCGGGATCAAAAAAGTCAAGATGACCATAGCTATTCCAGTGAAGCACCATCCATTTTTTTACAGGTGCCCTGTAGTCTTACAGTCAGAGTGGGGCTATGATCACATGATTTCCTCTAGGTGCAATCTGCTTGCCTCATGTTCTGGAACATGCTAATGGATAAAAATATTCAGCCCACAAATTGTGAAGTAGTCTGCTCTGCCACCAACAGGGATTTGTTTTGCATGGGAAAAAATTCTAGTTCCTCACAAAAACTGAGTGGTGTTATTGTCCGTTCCATAGATAGGCGATCAGGATAGGAAAGAAGAAAAACTGCTATTTAATTATGTAAATAATTGAATTATGTAAATAATTGAATTCATAATAAATTAAATAACAATTTAATTATGTAAACTCTTCCCTGGATTTTCAAAATGATTTTTCCATCTGTTTTCCTGATTTGATCTATCAGAGTTTCATTATTTATTGATTATTATGTAATTCACTTTCATCATTTGAATCCTTAAAATAACTCTCCATTTTTCCTTTTCTCTCTAATGCGTCTGCTCCAGCATTCACAGCTAAAAAAATTGCTTTAACTTCATATGACTTGACTACCTATATTCACTGAATTTCAATGTGTAAATAACATTTCTATTCAGATATTATCTATTTGTTCTGAACAATACAAAAGCCATTGGGATAATTTAAAATTTTGCCCTAATCATTCACTATATAAAGTGAGCCAGCCAGGGGAAGTCAAATTTGCTGTTTAGACATTAATATTTATTTTCATTCATCACTTTTGCAAGCAAGAACTAATATGAATGAATTACTAACTAGCTTTCATTAAAATTGTTCTCGATCAGCTAAAAAAGTACAGAAGGGAATGATCCACTGGAAAACACTTCCCACTCTTATTGAAGATTTTTCCCAAGTGGATGAAATACAGTCACCTGACCCAAATGAAAAAGAAAGAGATCCGTGCACTAAACAGGAAGAGAGTGTGTCTGAAACTGTTCGCATCCGTAAGACAATGCTGGAACAATGGAAAGCTGCCTGGAAATTTGGTAAGTACATACTCTTACTCTAGTTCTGGCTTTAATTTGTTAAAGCCCATTTAAGACAATGGCCAGTTTTCTGTTTTGAGTGCTGCCATTAATAATTGTTAAATCCCCTCTAACCTGTTATGAATGGGTTACTTGAAATATTATTATTATTAATAATAATAATATCCTGTTTCCCCCAAAATAAGACATCCCCTGATAATATTTTTGAGCGCATGGCAATAAGGCCAAGTGATTATTTCAGGGTTCAAAAAAATATAAGAGGGGGTTTTATTTTTGGGGAAACATAATAATAATAATAATAATAATAATAATAATAATAATAATAATAATAATAGTAGTAGTAGTAGTAGTAGTAGTAATAGTAATAATAATAATAATAATAATAATAATAATAATAATAATAATAATAATACTGGATTTCAACATTTTGACTCTACAAAAAAACCACCTTACTTGGAACAGCTTACATCCTCCGACGATACCTTGACAGTTCTTAGGTCCTTGGTTAGGACTCAAGCTGCTGAGCTATTAACCAGTCTCAAAGGCTGTGAATCTCACTGAAGATTAAATAATAATAATAATAATAATAATAATAATAATAATAATAATAATAATTTTATAAGGTACACCAGCAAATTGCAGCTTCCTGCAATAACACCAGCGGAACTGCAAAAAACTGCGCTACTTGGGACATTGTACATCTTTAGAAGGTACTTGGTTGATATCTACGACTCTGGCAGCAACCCATATCAACCACTAGCACCAGTCAATGGTATTTGTGATGCATTTTTTAATGTTCGGTTGACTGAGTTTCATATTTAATTAATAACGATAATAATAATAATAATTTAAATGTTCAGTTGACTGACTTTCATGTTTAATGAATAAAAGTAGAATATTAAATATCCTCTCCAACATTCTTCTTATGGTATTTTTGTACTTAACTTTCAGATCCTCATTGGCAGACAGCAACTATAGAAGGGATACTTGTAGACCTTGCTGATTTGCATGTTCAAAATCGGATCAATGGTCTACTTGTCTGTGCCTCTGCTGTGCTTGAGCGTCCCTGTAAAGTCCGAAATGCAAATCAGAAGTCAGGTAGATGCGTTGGGTGGAAATTTCTATCATTTCACTTATATTTATTGAGAATTACTAGATACTACAGCTGCTGGGATATAAACAGTAACTGATTCAAGTACTCTGATGTCTTCTTAGGCAAGTTGGGTTGCAGTTCCATCTATTTATACATAAGAGAAGGCTTAACTGAACCTATTGGATGATACCATTCACTAGTAATTCAAGAAATCATACAAAATACATATGAAGAGTAGTGCGGTAGCCCAGAGGTGGAGCTCTCGCCTCATAATCCAGAGGTTGTGAGTTTGATCCTAGGTAGAGGCAGATATTTCTCTTTTTGGGCAGAGTGAGAATATATCTGGTGAAAAAACTCTGCATTGGTGACAGGAAAGGCATCTGGCCAGTAAACACTCAGCTCCATTCAGTTGCCCAGACTCCACCCCGCAAGGGGTTATTTAAAAGAGGATAATACAGAACATATATGAAAACAATTCGGTTTCTGGATGCATTTGATACTACAGGTAATCCTCGCCTTACAACAATTTGTTTAGTGACTGTTGAAAGTTACAGCAGCACTGAAAAAAAGTGACTTATGACTGTTTTTCACACTTACAGCTATAACAGCATCCCCATAGTCACGTGATCAAAATTCAGACGCTTGCCAATTCATTTTTATGATGGTTGCAGTGTCCCGGGGTCAGATGATTCCCTTTTGCAACCTTCTGACAAGCAAAGTCAATGGAGAAATCAGATTCACTTAACTGCCTGTTATTAACTTAACAATTGCAGTGGTTCACTTAACAATGTGGCAAGAAAGGTTGAAAAATAGGGCAAAACTCACTTAACATTTAGCAGCAGAAATTTTGGGCTCAATTGTGGTCGTAAGTGAAGGACTAATTGTACTTTTATATCAGGACAATGAAAGGAAATGCCTTTTATTGACCTAGTAGTTTATATTTAATCTTAACCCTGAGATGAATCAGTAAAGTAACCTAAATTAAATCAAAATTAACCTGTTTTTTAAAATTGCAAAACTACCAAACTTTTACAAAATTTTACAAGTTCCTGTAAGATGATATTCCAAATGATATCGACATTTTGCATGAGAACAGCAACATTTTACAAAATGTCATGCAAGAATGCTGAAACATTATGTGAGTTCTTATAAAAAATATTTTCTTGCATTAGATGTCATGAAATGTTAGGAGAGATTTATAGAATCTTGCAAAATGAAGTAATGTCATAGGATTTTATATGTCCAGAATTTAAAGAATGCTGAATTTTATATTGAACTATAATGTACTTAATTCTTTTTGTGAATGTGAATCAGCCTATTATACCTTGCTGATTGTAGTTTAAAAATCTTGGCTTATTGTTATAAGCAAGTACAGCCATTAAGTCACATCAATGGGTTTGTCTGGCCCCAGAAGTTCCAGTATATAAAATTGAGGATTTAAAACAAATATGCTGGTAACTGACTTTGGATTTCTAACATTTTAAATATAAATTTTATTATTGGACTACAAGAGTCACCTTCTAGGGAAGATGGGCAGCAAAGAAATTTAATAAATAATAATAATGGTGACCTGGCTCTGTCAATTAGCATGGAGATCCAATAGTGGTATGCAACAATTGAGGGGATTGGTCGTTAGAGGGCACTCCATCTGTTCTTTTAACGTGTCTTTTTCACTTTATCTTTGTATGGATTTTATGGGTTTTATTTGTAAACTATTCAGAGTCTCTTAGATGGTGAGGTGGGCAGTGTATACATTTGATAAATAAATAAATAATGATGCTATCCTCTTGCCCCACTGCAATTAATACACATTGATGCCTTGGTAAGGCCACACTTGGAATACTGCATCCAGTTTTGGTCACCACGATGTAAAAAAGATGTTGAGACTCTAGAAAGAGTGCAGAGAAGAGCAACAAAGATGATCAGGGGACTGGAGGCTACAACACATAAAGAACGGTTGCTGGAATTGGGTATGTCTAGTTTAATGAAAAGAAGGACTTGGGATGAGATAATAGCAGTGTCCCAATATCTTAGGGGTTGCCACAAAGAAGAGGGAGTCAAACTATTCTTCAAAGCACCTGAGGGCAGGACAAGAAGCAATGGATGGAAACTAATCAAGGAGAGAAGCAACCTAGAACTAAAGACAGTTCCTGACAGTTAGAACAATTAATCAGTGGAACATCTTGCCTCCAGAAGTTGTGAATGCTCCAACACTGGAAGTTTTTAAGAAGAGATTGGACAACCAGGTGTCTGAAATGGTATAGGATTTCCTGCCTAAGCAGGGGGTTGGACTTGAAGACCTCCAAGATTCCCTTCCAACTCTGTTATTCTATTCCGTTCTGTTCTGTTCTGTTCCGTTCTGTTCTGTTCTTCTATTCTAATTTGGGATGCACATTCCAAAGCTTAGCTAAGAAATACTTTAATGATCTTCAACGCACAATGACTTACTTCATTTTATTTTTTTAATTCTCTCCATTATCTCTGAAGAGAGTCATGCCCTTTGCAATGCACATTTAAAAGCCTTTCTGAAACCATTAGAAAGCAAAAATCTTTCAAAAGCTACAAAACCTTCATAGCAATTTATTTATAAAACAAATTATTAAGTAAGTAAGTATATTTTTAGAATCCGGCATTGTTTCATCATGCACATGTGCTGATTTCCTCAGAAATAGGACTAGATGCTTCCACAAAAGACATAGAAATTAAGGATTTACCGAAAAAAATACAACCCTTGCTGCAAAAAACTCTGTTTGACACGGATGCCCATGTACGAATGGCAGCTGCAGTATGCTTCTATGCCATGTGGAAACCAAATCCAGAAGCACAGTCTATCATGAAGAAAGCTCTGATAGATGGTTAGTAAAAATCTTTTTTCTCCCTCTGTATGAATGTCACTAATCCATAAAGCCATGATAATTGAGGGGTCCTTGGTGCTCTCTGAACTTGGTTGTTTTCTTACAGATGTTTCATTACCCAAACTTGGTAACTGTAGGAGGGGAACACCACCAAGACAGTGCCAGGACCAGTAGGACATAATCAACTCAGAAAGGCAAAGGCCACAGGCATAGGAAAATGACCTTCCCAAAATAGAACACATGGACATCAGGGCCATTTAGGAACAAAAGAGGACCCAGGGAAATGACACACACAAAAGACTCAGGACATGCCAGGAAAGGAACTATCAAGACAGCAGAAACTAGGAGAGCAAAACAAAAGGGATGGCAGAGGATTAGCAAAAGGAAAAGATTTAATCAATAGCCCCAGCAATCTGATAAGAGCCAAGCCCGGAGTAAGGGCTTAATTGATAACAACATGATCAGCTTAAGGCAAAAGGAAAAATAATGAAAGCAGAAGGAAACAAAAGGACGCGAAATCAAATAACTAAGACACCACCCAATCTCAAGTAGGAAAGATTCAGAATAAGAAAACACAGGGCGATCCACAAACTCACACACAAAAGACAGACACACAAAAGTAACAAAAGAAACAAAGAATTTCCTTTGTACAGAAAAGTATAAAAATGTATGCTTACCTTGTAACTATGTCAGCTCACCGAGGAACCCTGGTCTGTGACTGCGCTCGATCTGACTTCCTGAAAAATAAAGAAAATTTGCTTTCACGCAGCTTGCTTCTCTCACGGTTTTGCATGGCGCCAGAACGCTCTCCCAGCCGGGAAATTCGAATTCTCGGGGAGGGGAAACCTCTCCTCCCTTCTAACAGTAACATCATCAGGGCTAATCTGATGAAGTTCAGGTCTAGCATTGATGGTGTTACCTAGTTTGGGTAATGAAGCATCTGCAAGAAAACAACCAAGCTCAGAGAGCACCAAGTACCCCTCATGTCAACCCTGATATTCTTGGAATACTCCCTGATATTCTTCCCCAATATTCTCCTTTATTGGCCATGCTAACTTGTTTCTTCAGCAAACACTATTTGGATATATGCTAAGCTAGGAAGAGTATCAAGAAAGTGATCCTGACAGAGATATGCATTACCTATTACCATTACCTATTTTTTAAGTCCAAAACAAAGAGATTACAGTCACATGTAACTCACATAAATGCCTCACTGAGCTATAAAAAAGAGAAGGAGGTGCTGCTCAATCTAATTTGCTAGATTGATGTCAGGCCTACTGGGCAGACCAGGCCAGGAAATCAACTCCATAGTAAGGCTAACACAACTTTTACTGAGATTGGATATGATACCTGAATCTTACAGGTTTGACTACCTTCTTTTCCTTCTTATACTCCAGTGAATCAGACCAGGGTCTGTCCCAGCTGTTTCTGAATGCTATCTCACTGTTCTGGATTTTTAAAAAAGCTTAGCCTCCCTTTTGCTTAAGTAAAGGTTCCTGCATCTCTCTTGTAAGGTCATCTGCCTTACTCTGTATAGACTAGGACCCTCATCCAGCTAAAGGAGAAATGGGGACATGAATCACCTCCAAACACCCTGTGCCTTTCCTGTACATCATTAAGCTCCATTCAAAAGCAACAGGATTGGTTAATTACATTGCTTTCTTTAGGAGTAGATCAAATTATGTACTGGTAGTCATTGACTTGCAACAGTACATTTAGTGACCGTTTGAAGTTACAATGGCACTGAAAAAAGTGACTTATGACCGTTTTTCACATTGCAGCGTCCCCCAAGGTCACATGATCAAAATTCAGATGCTTGGCAATGTGACTCTCATTTATGACTGTTGCAGTGTCCTGGGGTCATGTGATCGATCTCCTTTTGCAACTTAATGGGGAAGCCAGATTCACTTAACAATTAGTGTTACTAATTTAACAAGTCAATTAACAACTGTGGCAAGAAAGGTCGTAAAAGAGGACAAAATTCACTTAACAACTGTCTCACTTACCAACAGAAATTTTGTGCTCAATTGTGGTCATGAGTTGAGGACTACTGTATTTTTATCCAAAAAAGAATGATATTTTTATGCTATCCCTGAATAGTTACCATATTTAGGCAATCTTTTGGGGATTCTGCCTTTATTCTCATTTTCTTGTTAGGTAATTCTGCAGACAGCTGGGCAGCAGCTCAAGCTCTAGCCCTGGAAGGAGTTAGCAGTTTCCAGGTAGTGAAAAGGATTCTGTCTCAGATTTTTGATGAAAACAATGATGCTTCAGAAGAACAGGCATGTCTTTTGTTAGCTCGGCTCAGCAAACACACGGTAAGTATCAACCCCCAGGAAAAAGAACGTGGTGGAAGCACAGGATCGGTATGGCCGCTGAGGATTTCTGAATCAATTTGCCCATCATTATTGGATGCATGAGGGATGCGGTGGCTCAGTGGCTAAGACACTGAGCTTGTTGATTGAAAGGTTGGCAGTTCAGGGGTTCGAATCCCTAGCACCGCGTAACAGAGTGAGCTCCCTTTACTTGTCCCAGCTTCTGCACACCTAGCAGTTCGAAACCATGTGAAAAATGCAAGTAGAAAAATAGGAACCACCTTTGGTGGTGCTGGAAGAAACATCCTTCTGGGTTCTGCTCCAAGTGGGGAAAACAGACACTGGAAACATGGAGACTGCTTGGAAAGATGGTTTAATGGTGGACAGGATCACATGGCTTGAGTTCCTGAACAGAAAAGGGCCGATACAGTAAAATCCTCGGGTTTTTATGCTCTCTCTGGCTCTGCATTCCTTGGGGCCCCAAAAGAGTATCCTGATTGGTTGTCAGACTCCCAGGGGGTGGGGGCCTTGCTGGCTGATGGTCAGATGTGCTTCCCAGGTCACATGTGGTGAGTTTCTACTGCTATTGTGTAGAGGGCTAATCCTATCTTTCGCAATTCCTACTATGGCTCTGCCTGAAGGAGGCAGATCTTTGTTATGTAGAATAGACTGGCCCAGGCCTTAATGGCCTATTGACAAAGGGTGGGGGGGCAGGAAGGTGGGAGCTGCTTTGTCTGTAAAATATGCTTCTCATATTTCTCATCCAGGGAAATATAATATTCTGCCTTTTTCATATTTCCTAAAATATTTCACTCTTCCAGGAGAGGGGTGGGTGCTAACTTCCTACAGTGGGAAAGTAACAGCGTTCTGTGCGCCTTTGGCATTTAGTCATACCGGCCACAAGACCCCTGAGATGTCTTCGGACAGCGCTGGTTCTTTGGCTTTGAAATGGAGATGAGCACCCACCCTCTAGAGTCGGGAACGGCTAGCACATATGTACGAGGGGAACCTTTACCTTTACCTTATTGGATGCACACATTGTGCACTAGTGTGTCAGCAGGGGCAGCGCCTCATCTTTCTTGTTGAGCTCACAAGCAAAATAGAATTGGCTTGGGTGGGAGGCCGCCAGGGAATATCAGGCTTCAAGGAGATTTTACCAACGTTTAGGCTCTTGGCACATGCATGCTGCAGAAAAATTCACTATGGCCAATTTCTTCAAAAGGTTAAAAAAATGGTTGTCATCTAAAAATCCTGCCTTTGGGACCTTGCCAATCAGGTAGCTCCAAAAAATTGTGGGATGTCGTTATACTGTTGTTGTATTAAATTTTATTTTTATGATATGGACGCTGGAATGCTCAATTTCAAAACATCACTCTGCTTCCAGTTCTGAGCCAGGCTAAAGTAATGTTGTAGTTCCTATTTTCATTCATCAGTGTGTCTAATGTGCCTTCCTTTTGTTTTCTTTTTCCTCTTCCCTTTGCTTTCAGGTTAAACTAGTTTGGGGTGAGGGGAGATAGACAGCAAACCTAGTATAGTAAGGAAGATATTTTGCTTTAAACCAATGGAATAAATTTTAACTGCAGTGTATCAGCCTAGAATTCAAAAGCTTTGCCATTTATCTTCTGTTAAGTTATCTTAGCTCAGCTGTTCAATTAATAGGAAATTATCAAATACTAACATATAACATCCACATTTCTTAATTTCTTAATTTCTTTCCTATGTTCTGACCTAGGCTTCCTTAGAAAGCATGAAGCAAAGTCTTAATCCCGGTAAAATCTCTTTTATTAACATGACTGTGAATTCCATTCATTCACAGTCAACATTCCTTTCAGACGAATGTTTATCAACCCACACCTTATCTCACTTGGAAAGCTGCCAGAGAACCAATTTCCAAATGCAGAGCAAGGCCAAACTTGGCATTGAGTTTATTAGAGTCACAGACAGAACTTTCCAATCTTGAAACGAGATGAACTAATTGTTTCCTGCAAAAGCCCACATCCCGTTCGCTCCTCTACACCCCCCCCCCAAAATGCTTTGCTACTTTTATTTTCCTTTTTTCATTGCTCAACGAATGTGAAGAATCAGCAAAAATAACTGTGGTATTAATGCACATTATTAGCAAGTTAAATCTTCAACACCAAAACTTAACTTGCACACTAAATGTACATAAACGTAATAAATATACTGTTTGATACCAATATACTGTAAAAATCATGAAAAAGTTTTTTAAAAAGATATTTTAATTTTAAAAAACCCTTTATATCCTTTTGAGCGATGAATTATAAATCCCCCTTTCTTCCTGTCTATGTATAGAATGTCATATGAACACATTATAGAGTATTTTTAGGTTCCTTATTAATTGAATGCTTTCAGGGTTTGGTTCATTGTTTACTGGCATCAGAATTGAACAGCTATCAATGGATACATCGGGCTTTGGCATGTAAAACATTGTCTCGTATTCCAGGGAATGTCACCCAGGTATGTTTCATCCCATGAACTGGAAATGCAAAAAATATTGGTGATGCTATTTTTCTGATAGCTTATTGGAGGTTCCATTTTACCTGAACAAAAGGAAAATACCTCTCGTAAAAAAATTAAATTTCACAAGGCTTTTAAACTGAACTATTATTGTTGGTAGATATTGGCAAGAGGCTTATCAAAAACATTCCCTTCTCTTATTCCCTATGCAAAGGCAAAGAGCAGTCTCTTTGGACTTCTTACATTTTTTGTTTGAGGGAAACACTCGGCCTTTCTATATGGTTATCTCTGAAAGTGTTTCCCACAGAGTTATTAAAATCAGAAATTACACATTATTCTAAAAAAAAAAAGGTGGATTTAAAAAAACTGTTATGTGTGTTATATGACTTTATGACTTATATAAAGTCTTCTAAATAGGACCTCAAGAACAAAATTGTCCAACTGATGTGGACAGATTGGAAAATTGAGGTACGCCAGGCAGCTGCCAAGGTTTTGGGACATTTGAAACTTGGAAAAGAAGTCCATGACCAGCTGAGGTGAGCATCAAACATCACCTGTGGTATCAGTACTTTTATCTAGCAAAATAGATGTGGTATGGTATCTCCATTGGATATAAACTTGCCTCCATATTATGGAGTCATAATATCTTAACAAGAGAAATGATATCTCACATTGATATATTTATATGCAAACTGCCATCGATGTCATGATACCGCCTGTTCTTTGTGATGATAAAAAGAGAAAGATATTCATGTTTTGTATAAAGGTTTTTCATGCACAAAGGCCTGAATTTCTGTTATCTGCAAGGAAAGATAGCTTTCTTGCATTCCTGTAGCTTTGTACCTCATGAAAATGTTTTCCCAAAATTGAGAAACACACTAGAAGATGGCAGAAAGGAAATGTGACAACAAAAAATAATTGTCATATGTATGAGATGTAGAAGGCCCTTACCCCTTTGCTTGCACATATGTCTTCCAATGTTCTTTAAAAGGATTCCTAAAACATTTTAGGATCCCTAAATTTTGATTGATTTATAATTATTTATGCTAAACATAGCAACGAATAGCATGAGGACAAATATGTCTGCTGATTCAACATGCATTGAAGCTGTTGTGTATTATTACTTAGCTTTGTCCTCAATATATATTTTCTTTTATTATGCCCTAGATGCATAAATCAAATGAGCTTATCATTCACTAATAGCATCCTTATCCTCTCAGAGAGAATCTAAAAAGGGGAGACTGCCGGAAGAAAGTGGAAGCTCTTTCTATGATTGGCTGGCTGAAATTCATGACAGCCAGGCTGCTCCCTGGATTTCTTCAATGTTTCTCCGATGACTTTGTAGCTGTCCGAAAAGAAGCTTGCTGGGCAGCTGGAGCACTTCAGATTAGAGAAGAGACAGTGAGTGTTCACTAAAATGATTGATGAAGGATTTGTATGCAAAGGTATAAATGAAGGATGAGTCAGGGATTTATCAGTATTTACCAAGTCATAATACATAATTATTTATTTGTGTTTACCTTCATAAGCTTTTATTGTGTATGCCTGTAATTGCATATTGTGGCCTTGGTTCTCTAGTTCCTGCTTTTAATTTGGGATAAATTATGTATGTTATTTAATATGAATAACTCTATTTTTTTAAAAAAAGATCTATGAATAAGGCTCTGTATCAGTCAACAGATTTTGTTGTTGTTGTTGTTGAACAGGTATTAAGATGCCTTTTTAAGATCATGCAGACTGATCCTTTATGGAAAATCAAAGCCCTTGCCATCAGAGGTATTGTATTATTAAACTGTTGAGAATTCTTATTACAGTTTGAACCTATCTATAAATTATTTTGTAACTGTAATTTTGGATGTTACCTTATTTGTGAGAATCTTTATCTAGTCTGTCACTAAAAGAACAGGAAGCTGGTCTTCTTACATACTGAATAAGGCTTAACTTTTAGGAAGTATGTATTGCATTGCAAATACTGGATCAGAGACCAAAAGCTCACCTTCTTGACATAAAACGTCAAAGCAACTATCATTTTCTTTTCTGACAGCTTTGGGTCAGATAGGTGAGGCAAGTCCCTACCTAAAAAACCTTCTTCTCTGGGCCCTTCATTATGAAGAAGATCCTGGAGTACGGAGGGAAGCCTGTCGGAGTATCATCACTCTCAAAATGCAGGATGAAACTGTTCGGGCTACTTTACTGATGAGAATGATACTAGAACCAAATGAGAAAGTAAAAGAGTAAGTTATTTTTTTAATAGAAGATGATTCATGTTTAGAAAGTTCCTTCTCCGAGAACATCCTATAGGACTGTTTTTTTCACCTTGGCAATTGTAAGATACGTGGAATTTTAAACTTCTAGCGTTCCTCGGCTAGCATGTTTTATTATACCTTTGGGGGATAAAACCCTTATTCTTCAAATGAAAGTGTTCCTTGCCACTGCACTGATTTATTCCTATAGTAATGGGAAGTGGGGATGGGACAATAATGGCCTGTATTGCCAACTGTGATTTTTAAACCATTGTTTGTGACTCACGAATCCTACTAAATATAGTTTATAAAGCAAGACAAGACAATCCTGTCCATAACATTTTATTAATTATTTGAGAGCAGTCTAGTCAATTATAGTTAGTCTTCTATTTTATGACCGGTTGCCTAGTGATTGTTTGAAGTGGACCTCCCTGGAGCTACTTATGAATTAGTTCCAAAGTTTCCACAGTTGCTCACCCACCCCCATGAGTGCATGTTGGTTGCTCGCATTTTATGAATGCAGGATTCACTTAACGATCACCATGAAAAAGATCATAAAATCGGATTGGTTGTGTGGATGACTCATTTTACAATTGTTACAACTTAAGACCATGTTGGACCAGCCTCCATTAAGGTTATTAAGTCGAGGACTATCATATAGGCTGCTTTTCAACAGTAATAGATCTTCAGTAAATATCATTCATACACTTTAGTCAAATCATGATAGGCATTATTAATTGAAATACTTCCAAATACTTTATGCACTATGCAGTCCTGTCACTAAATGTCTACTCCTTATTGAAGTCAATGAAATGTATTGCCAAACAACTTGTGCACAGGCTTGTAGCACTAAGTGAGCTGTGGTTAGAATGTATATTGCAGCTACTTCTGTTGACTGCCGGCTGCCAGCAGTTCGGCAGTTTGATTCCTGGCTCAAGGTTGACTCAGCCTTCCATCCTTCCGAGGTTGGTAAAATGAGGACCCAGATTGTTGGAGGCAAGATGCTGACTCTGTAAACCGTTTAGAGAGGGCTGTAAAGCACTGTGAAGTGGTATATAAATCTAAATGCTATTGCTATGTGGACATTCCATAGGAGGATCTATTCTTGTGAGTAGCAAAATAATTTCATCTAGGTTTACAGAGATATCTAAAGAAAATAACTGGAATTTTTCTAATGTCCGAGGGTTTCAGTGACAACAGACTTTATTAACTTGAAAGGATGGAAACTTAGGCTGACACATCTGAAAGAGTGTATGGGCCTAATCATGGAATAGTTTTCTCTGGGATTAGCCTTTTTCTAATTTGGGGAAGAATTGGATATTTAACTACAAATGGAGCAAGAAATTTCTATAGTATTGCACTAGCCTCAGATTTACAGAAAAAGTGTATCAGATGCTGTGTGTTCAGCAAAGATAAAAATAAATGTTCCTAGGGGAGGAGGGATGAGATATAAATACATTCTAAATAAATAAAATGAAAATGTAGATTTGACTTTTGAGATTTCCAAAAGGCCTATTTCTCTGAACAGAGAAGTGAGCCGTGCTGTGACAAATTTCAATTTTGAACAAGAGGAAGAGCAAGAAATGATCCAAAAAATCAAGAATGAGGTAAAAAAATACAATCTAAAATGTTCTGGTGCTTTATTTTTTTTAGAAGCCAAGATTACATAGCTCTTTCTACACTTAAAGAAACTTGTCATTTCCCCTATTCACATTTCTAAAGACTGGCAATTTCTGAAAATTCATATTACAATATGAAATTGTAATATGTAAAAGTGTGCTAATTGCTACATATCGGGCCTTGGGATCATATGGGAGCGATCAGATAGCCAGCATGAATTTCACATGGCCATATTCCAAAGTTCTGAAGCAACTGTTGGCTTATATGCAGAGACAGACTGTAGGAGCCCACAAAGTAATGATAAGCAAGAGACTTCTGCATATCTTAATTGTATTCATATAAAAGTTCAAGTATGTATTTAGATTCTCCAAAAGATACTATACCACAATGAGGAAAATCCCTGCTGCATGCATCACTTCATCAATATCCCTCCAGATGTAAGAAGCTAATAATCAAAGAATTGACTACCATGTCAAACAAGAGGTATTTTGTGTTCATAAAAGTTTACTAAGGAAAGATATATGTGCATACGGAAAGTGACAAAATATGTCACAAGGTAGGAGGTATAGACTGCACAGCACCCAACACTGAGATCTATAGCTACAGGAATAAGAGCTACTAGTTGCCAAAATCCTTTATGTTACACTACGCTTGGAGAACTAAAGAAACAGGAATCTTAGTGAAAATTAACATTTGCTGTGCGCAAAACTCTACAGTGGTAAAAAAACTCATAACTTGAATTGTCCATGCTATTTCAACTCATATAGCCCCTGATTTTTCACCTAATTACCTTAACAACTGGCAAATGGGCAAAGCTTCAAATAGCTTAACAAGTATCTGAAAAAAGTTAGAAGCACAATCTTACACTTACTTTCTCATATAAACTAAAAGCTATTAACTGTTTTAGTTTAGCAGCTCACTTTTTAACCATATTTCCCCTATTCTACTTCCATATTCTAAGAAAGAGCAAAACTTTTTAGTATGATGATGCAAGAATTGTGAATGGAGTAAATTATATTGGTAAATGGTACAAAAAATGTACAATTTGTGTTGCAGATTTCCAGATTAAGCCAAAAACCCCTAGTGATAGAGAAAGTACTAAAACTTCAAGAAGTAATAGAGAAGATGTGGCATGAAGCCCACTGCATTTATCGGGAAAAAGGAGACATCTTTGCATATAGAGATATTCGTGACATCTTCCTTAATGTTGTTAAAACTGCTTTCACTGGTAACGTAGAATGGAATGAAAAAGTTTGATGGAACACTAGTTATTTTTTACCCATTTTTTTCTCTCCCTAGCATCCTTTCTAGATAGCTTGAAAGCTATTACTGTTTCACATAACATACAGAGAAAAGAACTTCTAAAATAGAAAGAGTCTCTGAAATTGTGTTTTTATTTGTGAGCATAAATGAATTCTGCCAAATATGTTTTGCTTGATTTGTAGTCTGTAGGATCAATGTAAAGAGTTGCTCAAGGTAATAACAGATCCACTACATATCTGAACTAGTACTGGATTGGCTTTCTCTGCTCTGTGGCTAATGAACTATATTACATATAGATCTAGTGCTTGTTTTTATTTCTAATCACATAACCCAGTGGGCTTAAATAAACAATATTTCCATTTTTTTTCAAGTGAAAAAGCTTTAGGTCTACCATTTATGTCTATTGTAATCTTCTACTGGAATAATTTTTGTCACTACTTTAATCTACCCACAATTCGAAAAACAAAAACTAATTTTCAAAGTTAAGAATAAACACTGTGTTATAAACATTTTAAAATGTAGCTCAAATTACATCCTTTATCTTGCTATAGTTTATCTAATATATATATATATATATATATACACACACATACATATATATATTTCTTTTATTTCTGCAGATCAGACACAAACTCCAAGCACGAAGTTCTCAAAGCTTTGGATTGCTATCTTAAATGTATTAGTAAGTACAAGAAAAATAACTTCTTACAATTCATTTATTTTTATGTTGACAGATGAAAGAGGTTTTTTAGTAATCACCAACCCCTTCTCAAATAAAAAAGTTGCCAAGGCAATCTTATCATTCAAAGAACCACAAGGAAGGGCATCCACACAGATGTAATTTGGGTAAGAGGAGACCAAAATTTCAATTCCATCTATGTATTCAGACTCTATTTCACAATACTTAGGCTCCTCCTTGTGGTACACTCTTGAGTTTTCTGTGGTATAATACAGCAAAGTAGCATCTCCTTCATTGCACAACCTGACAATGCCATATCGAAGTAGACGTATTTGGGTAGTTTTCTCAAGCTGCACATCAACGTTTTGCACATTTCCATTCTCCCACCGTGCTGGATGCCTGAAAATACTCAATGCTTTTTCAGTCTCAGTCAGCATGGGAGGAAGACAGTCATGAAAAAAAGACTTGGCTTTCTGATCCACTGCAGCATCAACTGGTGCATAATCCATTAGTTTTGTGACTAAACCTCCGATCTTCTGCAGAAAGACGGTCCGGCGTGGATCATCGGCATCAGTGTTTATGACACCCATGTATTCCAGATAGTTTGCAGGGAGGCCTTGGCGATATTCAATGTCCTCTTCAATGGCCATCTGCAAAGCTGCAGGGAGAAGTTTTTCCAGCAAGTCTCCCCAGGAGTTTTGCTGATAGGAGGAAACTGTTAGGTGGAGTGAATGAGCCTCTGGGAGGCAATCCCCTTGATGTATAAACCCACGGGGGAAGTATAGCAGGTCCCCAGCTTCTAAGACAGTCTCCAGAATTGGTTCACCAATCTCCATCTGGCTAAAATTGCTACTTGAAAAGCGAGGCAACATCTCAGTCTGCTGTCTGGGGGCGTAAACCCGCCAATGCTTCTTTCCTTCCAGCTGGATCACAAATGCCTCAATATCATCATAATGTGGGGCAAAGCCCTGAGCTCCAGCAGGAGTCAGGTAAGTGTTGGCACCAACCATACTGCTGAACTGCTCCTGTAGGACAGACAGGACATGCCAGACGGTAACCGAAAAGGCCTGAGGGTTCAGCATCCTGAGGGAACAGCCGTTCCTGTAGAAATCCCAGACCACAGCTGGCACTGCCCTGCCCACAGGATTATGGGTCTCCCTCTTCCCATCCTCATAACTGGTCACATCCAAGTTGACACCAAACTGGACATTGTGGTTGCGTAGGATGTTATCAAACTCAGCAGTCGAGAAGAGATCCTGATAATAATTTGGGTTGTGCCTGTGGATCAGAAGTGGTGACTTCTCCCAGTACTGATCAAAGAATTCCTGCGAGGAAACAGGAGCTATGAGCCACTGGAACAGTTTGGCAGCTCGCTCTCGGCTATCCTGGACTTTTTCCAGGTCTTGGAGGAGAGACGGGAGAGAGCAGCTCGAAAACAATTCCCGGGAGTAGAAATGCTCCCCTTCTCCATGGGGCAGCGCCGCAGCTGCTGGTGGTTCTGGAGCTTTTTGGTCTGCCCGCCTGCGCTCCGCCTTCCTCCGCAACTTCTGCCGGCTCTGCACGGGAGCCAAATATTTGCAAGTCGAGATATTGTTCCGTTTCGGTTTTCGCTTCTCCTTGGTACCCGAAAGCGGGAACGCATCTCCAGGCTGCTCCCCGTCGGCCGCTTCGGATGCGACAGAGCAATTCCTGCCTGCCGAGCCCTTCAGCTGCCGCTTCTTGACTCCTCGGCGCTTCAGGGAGATCGAAACGCCACGAGGCGGGCCGGGGGTTTGTTTCGGCTGGTCGCCTTCGCCGAGCTGGAAGAAAGAATGATAGGCGGCCCGGGCAGAAACACGTGGGCTCAGCAGCGCCATGCCGGACAAGGACGGGTCGCCTCGGGGAATCTCGCGACGAAGGGTTTCCGGCCAAGGCGTATTTTTCCCCCTCTTCCTGTTCGTGAATTAGCTCCGCCCTTCCATTATGACGTCAAAGAAGAAGTGGGGGCTGTTTCGAGCGTGGAGTTCCGCCAATGCGAGCTGTCCCGGGAGTCCCTAGTTTAGTTTAATATAAAATTCCCTCCCTGCCCTTCCCGCCTAACTGTAGGATAGAAACCTGCCGCAGTGCCGAGTCTGCAATCTTATTTAGAGATTAAAAGATTGGACAATCATTTGTGGGGATGGTAGTCCTCAGTTTACAACAGTTCATTTAGTGACTGTCCAAAGTTACAACGGCATTGGTGACTTAGGAGTGTTTTTCGCACTTACGACCGTTGCAGCATCCCCACAGTCATATGAGCAAAATTCAGATGCTTGGCAATTGACTCATATTTAGGACAGTTGCAGCGGCCCGGGATCATATAAACACTATTTGTGACCTTCTGACAGGCAAAGTCAATGGGGAAGCCAGATTTCACTTAACAACCTCGTGATTAACTTAACAGCTGCAGTGTTTCACTTAAGAACAGAGGCAAGGAAAGTTGCAAAATGGGGCAAAACTCACTTAACAAAATGTCTCACTTAGGAACATGCCGTCTTTCCAACTTAATGTTTAATATTAATGCAGACTAACTCCGTTTAATGCAAAACTCCTAATTAAGGGATCGCCTACAGATGACTGTCCAACATTTACTTGAAACCATGAGGTGAAAGTGAAACCACATCACTAAACAATCCTCACTGCTGTCAACTATTCTTTCACTTGACAAGTTTTTCCTAGTAATCAGAAATTTCCTAATAACCAGAATAACCTGTAGGACGCCTCTTTTTCAAAAGTAGTTTTCATTAAAATATTTTGCATATATAACAAGAAATACAAAGAAAAAAATATAGTAAATGTGAAAAAGGAAAAGAAGAACCAGAGAAAAAAGGAGATAGAAAAAAAAGAAAACGACAGAACAGATGAAAAAAAATATATACAGAAGTGTTGCTGAACAAGTGGTCCTAATGCCAGGACATTCTGTACTCAGTGCACATCACATAACAGTACTGCTTCACAAACTGCTATTTCTGTTAGTCTGGTTTTTTTTTTATGTTCCAGTATTGCACCAATTATGTTTAATTACTTGTTTTTCATGTTTCATCAAATTGCATGTCACCTAGAATCCTCTTCTGAATTGGATGACTATATAAATAAATAAATAAATATTCCCATTTTACTAATTACAAACACAGTACATATGTATATGGTCCCTCGGAAAAAACCATAATTTTATGCTATTTTATTTCATTTTGTAATTAATAACCAAATAATTGTCCATACAATAGGAGACAGCTTATCATAATGCTTTTCTCATTAAGGTTGAAACCGAAATAATGCCTTTATCATCTGCATTTAAAAATTATGCAGTAGGCCTATCAATCGCTTGACAAGTGATATTCTGGTTTTGTGAATTTTTCTACCATTTCCATTCATACAAAAATTAAAAACAAGGGAGCAGGTAATCAAATGCTTTCTTCTTTCCCCCCATATCCCAAGGTATTAAAGCTAATATCTCACGTAGTTAATTCAGACCGAAAAAAAGTACTTTTTATATGATTTACCCAATCTGTCAATTGAACCCAAGAATGTGGAAATAGAGCAAATCTGTGCCCAAGTATTTGCAAATAGAACAAATCCGAACTCAAGAATTTACAAATAGAGCAAATTTGTGCCTGAATTTTGGTACAGATGCCTTGTGAAACACTTTTAAGGACATTATCACACAACACAGATCTCCTCACATTCCTAGCTTAACCAAGACAGTTAATTTCATGCTTTTCTTATCTGATATGGAAGTAGCATTTTCCATCTTTTCCTGATACAAGTCTTCCCATATGTGTGTTTTGTGTTTCTTTAGTGGCAACCACAATCTTGGCTGCAATCTGTTCTCTTCAGTCATTGGCAACTTCCCTCCAACTTCCGATTGGCTTATGCAATTGATGCTGATGTAGCATCAACATTGGAGCGCCAGTACCAAAATTGCCATGAAAAAAGCAGTAGACCCATACTTTTATTCTAAAAGGACCTGGAAGTCAAGGCATTTGTTTTTCCATAAAGGCATATAAGACTTCAGCAAGATCACTACAGGTGATGCTTGTTTGGCGACTGTTCAAAGTCATTTTAGTGCTTAACAAGGAGACTTATGACTAATCTTCATTGTTGCAGCCATTTCAGGTCACGATTCAGGCACTTTTGCAGCCATATTGCAATTATAACAGTTCAATGCCCCACAGACCTATGATCCCTATTAATGTTGCCAGATGTCCACTATTTGAGCGGACAGTCCACTTTTTTCACATTATGTTCACAATTTTTTTTCACAAAATAGTGGACATTTTTTTTATTCAAAAGCTTTATGATGAAATTAAAATGTAATTTAATATTTTACATATTATTATAATATATTTGATGTTTTGAATTTTAAGTAAAGTTTTGAAGTGATTATTTTAATACGTGTTAAAATGTTTGTAAGAAAATATATAATTTAATTGTAAAAAAATTTTTAAATTTTTTTTACTACTTAACCCCCCCACCCCCCTTGTCCGCTATTTTTTGGAAGCAGACCTGGCAACCCTAATCCCTATTCGTGATCTTCTGACTATAACACCTAGCTATTAGCCAGCCAACATGCCTTTTGAAACTGATGGCCACTGTAATGCAATTCACCTGAAAGGCTCCATGCCAGGGGTGAAATCCAGCAGGTTCTGACAGGTTCTGGAGAACCGGTAGCGGACATTTTGAGCAGTTCAGAGAACTGGCAAATACCACCTATGGCTAGTCCCAGAGTGGGGTGGGAATGGAGATTTTGCATTATCCTTCCCCCAGGAGTGGGGAGGGAATGGGGATTTTGCAGTATCCTTCCCTTGCCATGCCCATCAAGCCACACCATGCCCACCAAGCCATGCCCACAGAACCGGTAGTTAAAAAATTTGGATTTCACCACTGCTCCATGCAGAAGAATTTACTTTAGGCAAGGCTTTCCATATGATTTCAGTTGAAGAATCTGGATGATCCCTATGAAGTAATGCACAGTTTGATTATAATTGTTAGATAATAGTTAATAGCCATAGTTCACAAACAGCATGCCGACTTAAATGATTTGTAGGTTACAATGTTAATGTTAAGTGAATATATGGGAGGATATATGGGTCTATGTGTTTTCACTTCTGTTGATACTTTGCTTTACTATTTGTATTTTAGCCTTGGTTAGGAATCCCTCCAAATCCCTGGACACAAAGAGCCTTTTATGAGGCACTAAAAAAGCACAAGGCAGAAAGGAAGAAACATCTCAAGAAACCAACAACTACCGAAAAGCATAAAGAATCCAAGGACTTTAAAAAGGGCACAGGAACACCATTTGCTATTCATTTTGAGACATAACAGGTTGACTTTTCACTGCAAAAGGTACAAATGTTCTGGCTGGGGCTTCTGTGGTTATGTACAGATTATAGCCTCTCAGAGGTTTGGAGAAAGAATGGTAGCTAAATGCAATTATTCATTGCACTTACAGTAGCTAATTTTTGGATCCTCCATTAGGTTGTGTCGGAATTTTGAATTATTGAGCTTCAAAATATATCCTGGGAACATGCTTGTTTGTTTGTCTTATATGTTGCCCATCTCACCCAGAGGCGACTTTAATATGAAATTAAAAAATAAATAACACTAAAATTGGTTTAAAATTGACAAAGATTGGAAGGAAGGAAGAAAGATCAGATGATGAGGAGGTAGGATCTTCTCTTAGTCCATTAACCATCTCCAGAATGGCACACACCCCTTGGGGCCCCAGGTCAATTATCAGAATCAGGTGTTTAGGCCCTTTCGGGAAGGCCAAAAGGGTGGGTGTGATTCACACCTGGTGGGGACACGATGTTCCACAGGACAGGAGTCACTGCAAAAAAGGCTCTTCTCCTGGACACTGCCAGCCTGAATTCCTTGACAAACAGGGTCTGCAACATGCCCCTTTTGCTGGTGTGGGTGGAGTGGGCCAATCCCACTCTTGATGGTGAAACTCTTGCTCAGGTAACCTGCATTTAGAACTATATCCAATATCTTTCAAATTATGTGCAGAATATTACAGCACAACTATTGCAAAATTGCATACTTGCATACTTCTGCAAGTACGCCACATTTATACATATTATATAATTGGATAGAGGTCAGAGGCAATATTTTATTTCATTTTGTCAGATGTAATTCATGGTTCCATACAAGCAAAACTTCCTCCTGAATCAAAGTTATTGAGCCTATGACTTGCTTCATATGTCGGGCTTAGTCATAATTTCTTAACAATGGGTTTTGTTGAATACACCCGTTAAGCCATAGATATGTTTACATATCATGGATTTAGAGAATATTCTAAGCAAATACCAAACAGTCCACATTATGGATTAATATAGCCCATGAATACAGATTTTAATTACAAGTGGTAAGAAAGAAATTTCACTGAACTTACTAAAACTTCCATTGTAAACATAGGTAGGATTATGCTATACTGCAAGCTATTTTCTGTAGTTCATAAAATGGTATCTGTGCATAAAGTCCCATAGCAATTAATCATCGTTAAATATGCTTTCAGTTTGACGTTTTAAAACTAATACTGTCACCCATACATGGGTGAGCTCATGGGTTCACAATATGCTAAATGAATATTTTGTCTCTATAGACAGTGATTCATTGTGGCATGACCTGGACATAACAACTTGGTTCACAGATAACACTATTCTATATTAGGTTTTCTTTGTTTTCTTTCTCTTCTTTCAAATAGAATCAGTAACTATTGCAGGGGTCAGCAACCTGCGGCTCTGGAGCCGCATGTGGCTCTTTCATCCCTCTTCTGCGGCTCCCTGTCACTCAAAATATGCATCACAAACACCAATGTGCGACACCCACAGACATGCGATTTATTGAGCTTTTCAACCCTGGTGGGCCAACCATGAATAAATCCAAGAAAAGAAAAGTTTCAGAAGAAAACAGAATATTTAATTCAACTACATATGCTAGTTTTGTGGCCGCTCAAGAAATAGACTGTGGGAAATGGGTCCAAATGGCTCTTTAAGTGTTTAAGGTTGCAGACCCCTGAACTATTGCATAGTTTCTGTTTGTATTGATTTGCTGCTATACTCAGAGGAGTCCTACGTGACCATGATTAGTTAGTTTCCTTTTCTCCTCTGCATAGTTACAGTTCATACATGCTATTAATTTTAATTTCACCTTTTTTGTAGTGAAACGCTTATATATGCATAAATATATGTTTATGTTCATTTCTTTCTGTATGGCTGCCCACTAATACAATTTTCTAACTAGTCTTCCTGGACTCGCAGTTTCAAAATTTTTCAGTGAAGCCATCAGAACAATATTTTCTTAAGTAGATTTTATGTCACTACTGCACCTGGTGATTCAATACTCAGCTGTGCAAGTTTGTTTTTCTAAATTATTTTAGCTTGAAAATCTGCAAAACGTTGAACAATTGGACTTGCAATCAGAATAATGTTTTATGGGTATCACCTCATTTCTAAAACATAGATATCTCTTAAGGCTTATAGACCAGGCCTGTGTGTTTGGTCCAGATCTATTAATTTAATAGGCTAAGTTAGATTTCTTTTTTATTACCAGTGTCTTATGGTTTCATACCTTTAAGCCAATACAGGTAGTCCTTGACTTATGGCCACAACTGAGCCCAAAATTTCTGTTGCTAAGTGAGACATATGTTGAGTTTTGCCCTATTTTACGACTTTTCTTGCTACAGATGTTAAGTGAATCACTGCAGTAGTTAAGTTAGTAACATGGCTGTTAAGTGAATCTGGCTTCCCCCTTGATTTTGCTTGTCAGAAGGTCGCAAAATCTTCTGACCTTGGGATATGGCAACCGTCATAAATATAAGCCAGTTGCCAAGCATCCAAATTTTGATCAAATGACCATGTAGATGCTGCAACCGTCTTAAGTGTAAAAAAGAGTCATAACTCTCTTTTTTCAGTGCCATTGTAACTTTGAACGGTCACTAAATGAACCGTTGTAAGTTAAGGTCTACCTGTTGAACCATGAATATAGTTCAGAAAGATGGCAAAGAAATCTGAAAAGCTAATGTGGCTAGATCTACATAACTATCTTTCTTTGCAATAAACTGTTTTGTGTTTTATTATTTGTGGTTTGGTTTACAAAGATTGCCCAATGAGATAAACATGGGAATTACAAGCCTAAAAAACTTAGGATGGAACCAATACTGATATTGTCAAAGCAATTTCTAACTAATAGTAAACTGAATATAAGACAGATCAGGAGTGATCTGTTGTTGGCATTGCTTAAGAAGTGCAGCTGACACTGCTGCATTGATTAGGAGGCTATTGGTTTGCAATTATTTAGTGCCATCAATTATCTTTGGTCCAAATATTGAAAGACTCCTGAAAATGTTTACAAATTTGTTCACAGCATGGTAAAATTGTCACTGTTTTTATTTTGCCCACAGATGCAGCAGTGATGGAACTCTGCTATGCTGAAAAATTCAATCTGATGGAATGCTGCAAGCTCAGTTTGTTTAGTTTGTTATAGTACTGGAGAATGTTATAAGTAATGGAGAATGTTAAATGAGATGAGTTTAGAGCAGTTGTGTTCTGTATTTGTAAATGCATATTTCCTCTTAATTTTGTATTTGTACTCATTCACTAGCCTTATCTTCCTATATGTGTACAATTAATTTTCAATAAAACCAAGAGGAAATGATTAAAACTATAACAAAGAATGTTGCATTTCTATCCTTGTGTATCTTGGTGCAATTGTGCAATTCCTTTACTTTCTTTTAAAATATTTAATGTAATGAGACCATTTTCCAATGGTGTGGTTAGAACCTAAGGTTTACAGAGCAGTTCAGATAAGTGTTTTCTTTTTTGAATCAACTTTTTACATGACTTATATTTTATATGCCATTTTGGTCTAGTGGTTAAAGCACCAGGCTAGAAAGCAGGAGATTGTGAGTTCAAGTCCCATTTTAGCCATGAAAGCTGGCTGGTAATTTTGGGCCAGTTACTGTCTCTTAAGTCCAACCCACCTCACAGGAATGTTTGTGTGGGGGAAAATAGGAGGAGGAAGATGTGTTGGGTATAACACACCTTACTTTGAGTTATTTATAAAAGTAATAAACATGGGATACAAATAAATATACAACTCATTATGTGTAAATAATTGTGCTTCACATCATTAATTAATCAGAAGATTCAGACATCAGTCCATAGGAATATTATAATAATCTGATAAAAAGAGAATAATGTGAAATGTGGAATCCTTGGTGCTTTCTGAGCTTGTTTGTTTATTTTTATTTATTTTATTTTATTTTGAATTTGTATACCGCCCTTCTCCCTGAGGACTCAGGGCGGTGAACAGCCAAGTAAAAACATCAAGTACAAATATTAAAATACAGTTAAAATATATATATATAAATTTGGCCCCATTAATTAAAAACAATAAACAAAACACTTAAAAATACTTAAAAAATTAGGCCAGCCCGGCTTGCTGGAAAAGGAAGGTTTTAAGGGCACGGCGGAAGGCACTGAGGTCTTGGATTCTCCTTATCTCTGGAGGCAATTGATTCCAGAGGGTAGGTGCCCCCACAGAGAAGGCCCTCCCCCTGGGGGTCACCAGCCTGCACTGTTTGGCTGATGGCACCCCGAGGAGGCCCTCTCTGTGGGAGCGCACGGGTCGATGGGAGGTCGTCGGTGGCAGCAGGCGGTCTCGAAGATAGCTAGGCCCTATGCCATGGAGCGCTTTAAAGGTGATAACCAACACCATGAAGCGCACCCGGAAGACCACTGGGAGCCAGTGCAGCTCGCGCAGGAGCGGTGTTACATGGGAGCGCCATGTTTGCAGACCCTTCGTTACCTGAATAGATAACATGATGATGTCATCTAGTCAGGTAGTGTTTTGCCAAAATGTAATTTCTTCAGATTAAGAAGCTTACATAATATAATTCCTTTTCACAAACTATATAGGGAAAGATGTTTGAATTTAAATCAATTCAAGACGCACAATTCCATCTCAATGCACTCTGCATTCAATCTCATGCAGAGTCCCTGAACCTCTTTATTTTTCATGTATCTAACTCTTACATGCTGCAAAATAACAGTATGATCAACTCCTGGTTGGTTGGTTGGTTGGTTGGTTGGTTGGTTGGTTGGTTGGTTGGTTGGTTATTTATTTATTTATTTATTTATTTATTTATTTATTTATTTATTTATTTATTTATTTATTTATTTATTTATTTATTTATTTATTTATTTATTTATTGGTTCGATTTATATGCTGCCCTTCTCCGGAGACTCAGGGAGGCTTACAATGCGTTAAGCAATAGCTTTCATACTTTTGTATATACCTGCTTAGGGCTTTCGCCCCCCCAAGCAGTGTTCTTTTTTTATACAAAGTCATCTTATTGTCCCCGCAAACCGGGTCCTCATTTTACCTACCTCGAAAGGATGGAAGGCTGAGTCATCCTTGAGCCTGGTGAGATTTGAATTTGCAGTAATTGCAGGCAGCTGGTGTTACTTAACTGTGCTTTAGTCTGCTGCGCCACCAAGGCTCTTATTTCATAGATATGTGATGTAGTTTTCTTGGCAATAATACAGGTGTGCTTGATGTTCCATTTTTATTTTTTTTTACTTTCCAGTCAAGCCTCCAGACCTGAAATTTCTTGGTGGCTTAGATGAACTTTAAGTACTCAAGCTTATATTATTTTCCTGGAGTCATTATTGTCATACCGTGTTTCCCCGAAAATAAGACCCTGTCTTATATTTTTTTGAACCCTGAAATAAGCACTTGGCCTTATTGCCATGCACTCAAAAGCCCGATTGGGCTTATTATCAGGGGATGTCTTATTTTTGGGGAAATAGGGTACTACTATCTGGAGATAACTAAACTAATCCAGAAATTCTATGCACAGTCTGTGCTATAAAAGAGTTGTAAAATATAAGCAGTGAGGGACTAAGTGGGTAAGTCATTTCCTTGCTCAGTACTGTATAACACTACAAAAGACATCACTACATAGAAATAGCTCTCCACTAGGTGGTAGTATTACATACAAAAATGTTATGTTGCTTTAATTTCTCAAAAATGGCAATACTGTAATTAATGGAGAATTAAATATTTTACCTGCACCCATGAAATCAAAAACATCTGTTGATGAAAAGAATACAGTTTATCTGATAAATGTAAGCACTCTATTAGCATGGTGGTTACAAAGCTGATGAATCCCATACATGTCCTAGAGGAGGCAAAGTGTTTACGACACATTGGAAAGTTACTGCAAATGTTTTAAAAAACATTTTTCTAATATATGATAATATAAGATTCAGCTGCCGAAGGACATGTGTCACTTCTAGTTAGAGGAAAGCTTTTCAGTAAGTAAATATAAGTTTGATAGCCAAGTAGGAAACTAGCAAACCAGCCCAATAAGAAAATTAGGTAGCCAAGCAGGGAATACTGTTAAGCAAAACCACAGAAAAATACAGAGAAGATGCACATTTTATGTAATCATCAATGCATTGGTCCCTCCATTCTCACAGCAGAAAATAACACAACAATCTTCTGTGTTAGAATAGAGTAAATATGTTCTTTGAAAACTGATAAGTTTAAATGGGTGCAGCAGACTTGGCTCTACAGTAGATGCTATTTACTCTTTGTATAGTGCTGTCAGTGATGACCTACAACATAATCTGCATTCTTCACCACTGATTATGACTTCTATGTGTACTTGCTTCTTTATTTCAGCACAAGGACCAGTTATTAATTTGGGTGGAGCCTTTGGGATTAGTCCTGTTATCCTTGCCCCATTTGTCCTTGGCAGGATACCTGTGTACTCTGGCAGCCATTCTCGCATTGCAGGAGTAAATCTGCCCAGGCACAATTATTATGTTCTATTTCCTTGTAGAACTCTCCTTGTGAAATAGTCTCTCAGTTTGATGTGCGAAGAGCATCATTACTCTTATAAACTTCAACCAGACACCGAGGGAATTAAATTTAGCAGGACCGTGTTGCAGTGCTGAAATTCTGCATGGCGCTTATGACATACCCAGCAGTAAGAAACAAGGTGAAATTTCTCTTTTGTGGATACTAGCTTCAACTTGCTAACAGGAAAAGGAAGTATAAAACAGGTTTTCATCTAGGTTCAGGACACTGTGGTAACTTGGTGCTATTCCCAAATGAGATCTTTGTCTAGGGGAAGGGTTTTTCCTCACGGCTAAATTGAAGTAGTTTACACCCATCCTTGAGTCAGCAGGAAACTATATCAGTATGTACTTTGCTACCTCTTTTGTAAAACTATTGGTTGTCTCTATGCATTTTTTAAAAATCATTGCCAGTCATTTGACTTCCTTCTATGGTAATGAGTTACATGCAGTGGTGGGATTCAGCTAGTTTGCAACAATTCAGCAGAACTGATATCTAATTTTTTGTTGAGTTCGGCGAACCGGTTAGACGTGATCTAGAAAAATCTCTGTTTTCCAGAACACGTCTGGTTTTTTTTTAACTTCCTTCCAGGTGGGGGAAAAAACCCCAAACTCCTCCCCAAAAGTTAAGGGCAGGGCGCCTAAGGTGGCAGTTTAGGGCTAAAGGGCCGGCAGAGTGACAGAGGGTTGGGGAGGGTGCTGAAGCGAGCGGGTGTCCTGCCTGCAGTGCCCATGCCAGCTGCCCCTTCCCGGCCAGAGCTGGAATGCCGCTGGAAGTGCCAGTAGATGCTGGCCTTCCCTCCAGAGGGCCTGGGCAGCGGCTGGAGAGAGACAGGCCCGTTTTAGTGCCTGGTGCCCAGATGCCCTTGCTTCCCCCAAGCATTTCTTTGCTAACCTGATTTCCAGCTCCATCACATTTTTCCATCACATGTCTCGTTGTCATGTGCAGGGAAACAAAAGTTTGTGGGACAAAAAAAAAAGTTCAATCAATCAATTCCAACTTCTCACGAAAAAGAAAAGATCTTGCGAAGTTGAAATTGATTGAAGTTTTTTTTTTTTAGTCCCACAAACTTTTGTTTCTCTGCACACAACGGCGAAAAAATGCAATGGAGAAACGCGACAGAGCTGGAAATCGGGTTAGCAAAGAAATGCTTGGGGAAAGGAAGGGCATCTGGGTGGGGCGGCACGGCACTGCAATGGAGAAACAGGAAATGGAGTGGCTGACGCAAGGGAAGGAAGAGGAGCAGGGAGAAGAAAGAAGGAAAGCAGTCTCCTCCTTCCTTTGCGCCAGCCTCTCCGTTTTCCATTGCAGTGCAGCATCCAGGATTCACTTTGACAGCGGTGGTGTTTGGGGGATGGCCAATCCGGCTCACCCAGAGTCAGGCTGGCCATTGCGGAAGGCTCATCTTCCATGTGCAGCGGAGCTGGAGGAAGGGGATGGGCGACACCTCCCACAATGGCCACCCTGACCCTGGGTGAACTGGTTGTTAAATTATTTGAAACCCACTACTGGTTACATAGCTTGTGACTGCCATTGGACAGTGTGAGAGAAAACACTGTTTTAATACCAGCACAGTTACTCATGCCTTAAGAGTGATTCTTGGTGATGAGATGAAGGTAACTTCATAAGACCTTGAAAAGATGTTGCCAGTTTATATTTATTTCAAATGGGTGGTGGCCCAAAGACTCTTCATCTGAACAATATAGACTCCTATTTTGTTAGCAATCGAGGTGTTCCTATAAGTGAAGGTAATTGTCATAAAATTAAGGAATCTTTTCCTTTTATGTACAGGGAATTCAGCTATCGGAGA